TTTAACCCAACAGTTGGGTTAGTCCATATTTGACCCAACACTGGGTTGAAACAACCCAGCATTTTTTAGAGTGTAGAGTGAAATATTTCAAGCCTTTATTTCTTAAAATTTGATGATTATGGCTTACAGATAATGAAAACCCCAAATTCAGTGTCTTAGAAAATGTGAATATTACATAAGATCAATAAAAAAAGGATATTTTAAAAAGAAATGTCAGGCTTCTGAAAAGTATGTTCATTTCTATGCACTCAATACCTGGTTGGGCCTCCTTTTGCATGAATTACTACATCAACGCGGCGTGGCATGGAGGCAATCGGCCTGTGGCGCTGCTCAGGTGTAATGGAAGCCCAGGTTGCTTTGATAGCGGCCTTCAGGTCATCTGCATTGTTGGGTCTGGTGTCTCTCAGGTTCTCTATGGGGTTCAGGTCAGGCGAGTTTGCTGGCCAATCAAGCACAGTAACACCATGGTCATTGAACCAGCTTTTGGTACCTTTGGCAGTGTGGGCAGGTGCCAAGTCCTGCTGGAAAATGAAATCAGCATCTCCATAAAGCTTGTCAGCAGAAGGAAGCATGAAGTGCTCTAAAATTTCCTGGTAGATGGCTGCGTTGACTGTGGACTTCAGAAAACACAGCGGACCAACACCAGCAGATGACATGGCAGCCCAAATCATCACTGACTGTGGAAACTTCACACTGGACTTCAAGCAACATGGTTTCTGTGCCTCTCCACTCTTCCTCCAGACTCTGGGACCTTGATTTCCAAATGAAATGCAAAATTGACTTTCATCTGAAAAGAGGACTTTGGACCACTGAGCAACAGTCCAGTTCTTTTTCTCCACAGCCCAGGTAACCAGCTTCATTAGCAATTAAATTTTGTGGCTTACCCTCCTTGTGAAGGGTGTCAAGGACTGTCTTCTGGACATCTGTCAAGTCAGCAGTCTTCCCCATGATTGTGTAGCCTACTGACCCAGACTGAGAGACCGTTTAAAGGCTCAGGAAACCTTTGCAGATGTTTTGAGGTAATTAGCTGATTAGGGTGTGACACCATGACTTTCCAATATTGAACTTTTTCACAATATTCTAATTTTCTGAGACACTGACTTTCAAGAAATAAAGGCTTGAAATATTTCACTCTATGCGTAATGAATCTATATAATATATGGGTTTCACTTTCTGAAATGAGTGACAAAAAATATTGACCTTTTTCATGATATTCTAATTTTTTGAGATGTACCTGTAGATGGTGTTCGATGATCATACGAAGTATTATTAAGAAATGATAACTAATGTGTGCTGCCTACTGTTGCATAATTCATTTAAATGTCAGTGTGCCATCAATGGCGTCATGAAAGCGCATTATCAATTTCTTAAGCGTGTTTTACAAATGCTTCCCTGTTCTCTTTTCTTGAGATGCTTCATAGTGTAAAACATTTTATTTAGGAAACAGTTTTTGCTCATTGTGAATTTAAAATGTGATAGAGGAGCTCTGTCTCTATCATTTCAACAACTTTTATGATAACGATTAAGATTAAAATCACATTAAGTGAGTTAAAAAATCCAGTAGATGGCAGTGTCCTTATAGAAGTATTAGATTGACAGTTACTGTATCTGCATTATATTGCTTTTTCCTTCTAAACTGTTAGCATCTTTTGAGTAGATCGCTTGATCAGAAGTAAATTGTATATGAGCATACATACATATTCCATTTTCAAATCTACGGAATGTATAATTTAAAAACATAGAAAAGATACAGAAAGCATTATGTAGAGACAAGGAAACAAGATACAATGTATGCAGTGACCATTAAAAACCATTATAGCAGCAGGCTTTATTACAAATACTTTTATTAATCTTTTTTTGTCTTATAACCCACATTCTGGGTTAATTAATCCTTGTATCCCTTTATTTTGATTCATGATGTAACCACAAGTATTTTTGCTCAGTTCACAACACTAGATTTGTAGTGACCAATAAGGCTGAGCCACTGGAGAAAAGCTCTCTCAAATATTATTTATTAACAGCATACCACTATGGATAAAAGCACCCGAGACCCATCTGAACACTAATTCAGTTGACCAAGAACTTTTTTTATGAATTTATTGTCATTAATGTAAGCGCAAGTATAGGTCAGAATCACTAAAGTGCACAATTACGTTGAATAAACCTGGGAAAATAGCTACTATTAAAATTACATCACATATACATTACATGCCATACAACAGATTTTACATATCAAAGGTTGACAGTCTTTTTAAATATTTAAAATGGCATCAAGCTTTAGAAAACTCTCCGTTTAATGCATTTCATTTTGAGCTGTGTGTCCTTTTGTTTCAGACACAATAATTAGATGAGTGATGTCTGCTGGAGGATGAATGGTGATGTTGTTTCGACATCAGGACTGTCCCTTAAGGCTAATGATTCTCAGCCTGCAATGACATTAGTCGAAGATGTTCTAGCTCACACTATAGCCTCACACAAATCTAGCATGTGGTGGGACTCCAAATGATGACATCACCAGCAGGAGGAAAATGAATGCCCCTTTGAGACACTGATAGTGCAGGGTTTATGAGTGTGTAGGCTCTGTGTTGCAAGAATAGAAGCGGCCATTTAGGGCTCTTTGAGGGTCTTAAAGCTTACTTCATTCCACCCCCAAAATGCCAGTGTCTATGTTCATATACTTAGTGCATTAGAAATCACTGTCGGGAACTGCTAATAGTGGAAATCAGACCTCTGTGGACAATGCTTCTTTGTTTGGACATAAATAGACACATGAAAGGCCGTTCTGAACAAACTTAAACCTCATGACCAGAATCATACGTAACATGGCACATTCAATTTCGTGCATCAGTTTGGATTATGTAAAAACTCATCAAAAAAACTCATAACATTCCCCATGTGTGAATTAGAATACTGTATCTTCTCTAATAAATCATATAGGCATGCATTTATGGGTGAGCATTTTTGCCCCGCTCGACTTTTAGTGTCTCATAAAACACAATATTTGCTCTCTGATTACACAGAGAGAGAAAAAATCTGTGGAACAATGTATTCTATTAATATGAAGGAAGTTTCCGTATTTATTTTTTTTACAGGTATTTTACCTGTATTAGAATTTTGCGCTTGATTGCATTTGTTTAGGGTCAACAGAAATATCAGTATAATTACTAGATAATGTCCTGGCAAAATTATCAGAACATTGTACGTTTTTTTTTCTTTTTCATACACATCTCAAATTAATTGTAGTTAAACAGCATTCCATTATGGAAATGACATAAACAAAAATTGAATAAAAAAATTAGCTTAAAACCAAAAACTCTTTTTTATGTATCCATTTATGATTTTATGTATCCTAAATATGCAAAAGAAAGAAAAACACACACTTTTTTGTCGAAAGCAGCTTGATTGATGATGCATAATGAAAATAAATTCTCACTGTTCTAATAATAATCTAAACATTTATTTTTTATTATAAAAATGTGTATTATATATTGATATAACTGGATAAAATAAATATGAACATAATTTTTTTGCTTTTGAATGCTTAAGCCATATATTTGTATTTGTATATATTTATATATTTTTTTCATTGCAATATATAATATATATATTAGTGCTGTTATGATTTTGGATATCATAAGAAATATCCAAAATAAAAGATTTTACTCACATAATATGTGTGTGTACTGTGTATATTTATTATGTATATATAAAGACACACGCATACAGCATACATTTGGAAAATATTTACATGTATATATTTATATAAATTATATAATGTATAAATTTATTTAATATATAAACGTAACACATTTTTCTTAAATATATAGCCTACATGCATGTGTGTGTATTTATACTTAATAAATGTACACAGTGCACACACACATATTATGTAAACTGTGAATTATGTAATGTGTAAACACATTGTTTTGAATGCGATTATAATCGTTTGACAGCGATATACATATACATACATACATATATAGTAATTATTATGTGATATTGTCAACATTTCCTTTTTAAGATTTAATGACATTATGGATGACTCTCCTATTGATAAGCAATACACAAACACACACTACTGAGCTGTTAAAGGCAACAGATGGCTACTTTGTCTGATTGATTATAATCATTAATCATTCATCCCGTCTCCAGGTTTTCAGGGTGGCAACCGAGGCGACGCTCTCTCGCTCTGCAATCTCATTGGTTGGCCACCCGCTCGTCACTCCCCCATCCGTCGGAAGTGCGGTCTCCTCTGCGTCTCCCTTCAGTCTGAACCCGCCTGCGAGCTCGCGCCGTCGGCCTCTGCTCGGTTTGTCAAGCAGAAGCGCGGGTTGGTGGAGCGGAGATCTGGCCTCGGATTATGCTGCCAATCCAACCGACCAGAAGGATGTGGGATTCAGCTGCTCTCCTGCTTTTTAAAAGCCAAGCTCAGGAACGAGCACTTCTGTGTTTTAGTCGCCGGGGTTGAGCGTATGTGGGACAGTAGCGAGTCTAACAGCCTTCAGACAAAAGACGGCTGCGAAGTAATATTCACGAATAAAAAGGGTAAGTACGCCAGTTTGCGGTGTCCGCTCTCTGGGTTGCAATGCGCCGTGCTTTGTGTATTTTAGCACGCGTGATTTCTAGCCGCCTTTATGCGAGATTTAATGTCACGGAACGCGAGTGATGTCAGCACTGCTTTTGCATGTTTCCTCAGCGAATGTGTTACAATATAACATTCCAACATCCTCCAGTGCGCGCGCGCGTGTGTGTGTGTCGCTCTCTCGCGCGCGCGCTCTCTCTCTCTCGCGCTCTCTCTCGCGCGCTCTCTCTCTCTCTCGCGCTCTCTCTCTCTCTCAATGCACCTTAACGTTGGATTCCACCTGCCTTAAAACATGAAGAAGAAGAAGAAGAAGAGTAATGTTCGCGCTGCGCTGTTGTAACTGATCCGCGCTGTCAGCTCGGTGGCGCTAGTAAACACGTCCTCTCTGCGCTGTCGAACACTTGAATACCGCGCCGTTTCATCCCACATTTGGGTTGTTTGGCTTCCCATATAATACTGTAATTAAAGTCACCACAAGCACAGCACACGTGTGATACTGCTCTAGAATATTAGCGTTGTTACCACTGAAGGAAGGACAGACAGCAGGCTATACATTACTGTAGCATTGCGATTATATTGTCGACTGACGTCTTCGTAAAACAATACAAACAAACTCGCTACTGAATCTACTTCGTAGCAGTCGGATGGTTCGGTTTCGTGTATTGTCAGCTGCATGTAGTTAATTGGTGTCACTTGGGTCCTAGTTATGGTAGTTAAAGCGTGTCTAGTCCACCATCAAGATGTTGTTGAAAATTATGCGTGATTTTTTCAAAGTACAAATCATCTATGTATTCACCTCCGAAATGGGGTTGACGCGAGTTTTTACATGACTGTTTCTTAAAATTGTACATTTGCCCAGTTGTTAGTCTCTCAGAATTCGCAGAGTATTTAAGTTGGTAAAGTTACGTCACAGGATACGCTCTTGCTCTAAGCCATTCCACGTCTTTGTCTCTGAAAGTAATGGTCCACAAATAACTATTCTTTACTTTTTTCCTCCTTTCGAAAGAAAGCACACTTCCGCCCCTTAATGCTGTCCAAAAGCCAGGCCACTCATCTGGACCCCATGAGAATAGGCGTGTCGAACTGAGAGAAATTGCAGAGGATGTTTTCTGGGTTTAATATGACTGAGGCTACTCTAACTTTGTCCAGTTTTTCTCTTTAGGGTGAAGCACTTAGGTGTAGTTTAGCTGCGTCTTCAGGAGGTCCTTATAGTGGATAAACAGATTATTTGTGTATTATGTGCTTTGATAATTACTTTTTTATTGCTTAAACTGTAGTAGTTTACATTTGGATATTGTGCCTTTGAATAGCTTAAATGTGCACGATTACCCATTACATTTCAGCATACGGTTTTGATTTAGCATTTGTCCTTTTTTTCAGTTTGGAGCAAGCATAGAGTTGGACTGCATTTAGTTATGCAAGATATTTACAGTCACTGGTCCGTTTTATGTGTTGATTAATACAGTTCTGCAGCAACATTTCTATTTTTTATGTGATTATACTGTTTATTTGTGTTGTCATTTGTCTGTAGTTTCGCACTCTTTTTCTTTTCTCAGTCTTATTCGTGCCCACTGCTTCCTAACTCTTTCCACACATTGCAATACATTCAAGTAATCCATGTATGATGTATTATTTATTTCTAAAGTAATATTAGCATAAATAAACAATACAAGCTTATGACGAGTCACTTCTTTAGAATGCTTTAGAGTCTCCTTTGATATCTGGTCAGAGTAATGAGTACACACTACACAGGGTAGAGCTAGATGAGCTGCTGAGCTCATGATACTCATTCACACTGGCACTTCATCCACGCACTCATGACCCACACCACCAAATTGAAGTGCCTTTATGCAGGAGAGCTACACGAGGAGTTTCATATCCCAAACTGCTGGTCTGATAATGACATGTGCTTGAGCTCTGGCCTTGTTAATTTTGGGGAACTCTCATGCTTTTCTGCATTTTCTCACCCGAGAGAGAGTTGGATCAGAGCAGGTTTTGAGAGAAGACAGACTGTCCCTATTTGACTGTCTAATTAGGAGTCTGAAGAAAAGGCTTCTGAAGAGAACTTCCACACGACACGCATAGTCACAGAAGTAAGAGTTATCCAACTGTTCTCATGTCTCATCTCTGCACTCGTTTATTAGCAGAAAGAAGGGCAAGACATTTGTTTGCTGAGGATGCATTGACATGTCGGGTGTTCTTAAAGGAATAGTTCACCCCCAAAAAATGTAGTCATTGTCAGGCCATCCAAAATATAGGCGAGTTTGTTTCTTTATGCCAACAGATTTGGAGAAATTTATCACATTCCATAACTTGCTTATCAATGGATCCTCTGCAGTGAATGGGTGCCGTCGGAATAAGAGTCCAAACAGATGATAAAAACATCACAATAATCCACAAGTAATTCACACAACTCCAGCCCATCAATTAATGGCTTGTGAAATGAAAAGCAGTGTGTTTGTAAGAAAGAAATTCATCATGAAGGCATTTTTACTTTACATCATCTTTTTCGGCCAAGAGTCCATAATCCATAACACCTCGCCAGTGAAAAGTCTATCCCTTGTTGTCACCTACATAATTGTTTAGATGTTTTTAGACTCTAAATGGTGCGTGATTTGTGCATATTTCTCTCCTGATTCAGATGAGATGACTTTTTCACTGGAGAAAGCAATATTATGGATAGAGGACTCTACTCTTTTGCCAGAAATGACTGTTTAAAGTTAGCACAGTCACAGAAGTAAGAGTTATCCAACTGTTCTCATGTCTCATCTCTGCACTCGTTTATTAGCAGAAAGAAGGGCAAGACATTTGTTTGCTGAGGATGCATTGACATGTCGGGTGTTCTTAAAGGAATAGTTCACCCCAAAAAAATGTAGTCATTCTCAGGCCATCCAAAATATAGGCGAGTTTGTTTCTTTATGCCAACAGATTTGGAGAAATTTATCACATTCCATAACTTGCTTATCAATGGATCCTCTGCAGTGAATGGGTGCCGTCGGAATAAGAGTCCAAACAGATGATAAAAACATCACAATAATCCACAAGTAATTCACACAACTCCAGCCCATCAATTAATGGCTTGTGAAATGAAAAGCAGTGTGTTTGTAAGAAAGAAATTCATCATGAAGGCATTTTTACTTTACATCATCTTTTTCGGCCAAGAGTCCATAATCCATAACACCTCGCCAGTGAAAAGTCTATCCCTTGTTGTCACCTACATAATTGTTTAGATGTTTTTAGACTCTAAATGGTGCGTGATTTGTGCATATTTCTCTCCTGATTCAGATGAGATGACTTTTTCACTGGAGAAAGCAATATTATGGATAGAGGACTCTACTCTTTTGCCAGAAATGACTGTTTAAAGTTAAAAATGTCTTATTGATGGATTTATTTTTTACAAATATGCACCTTTCCATTCACAAGACGTTAACTGATGGACTGGAATCATGTGTATTACTTGTGGATTATTGTGATGTTTTTATCATCTGTCTTAACTATGTTTCTGACGGCACCCATTCACTGCAGAGGATCCATTGGTGAGCAAGTGATGTAATGCTAAATAAACACTTGTACATCATGGATGGTCTGAGGGTAATTAAGTACATTTTCAGCAAAAGCCAATTTATTGATGCACTGTTTCTTATCAAAACCAAAATTAACATTTTCATTTAGCCAAGAAAATGAAAAAGTTTGTCATTTTAAATTTCAGTAACTGGGTAATCAAACTCCGAATGCTATTCAAGGTGTTGTGTTCTCAGATGATAAATTAAAATTGTCATAGTAAAGTTCTTCAGCAATGAGCAGCTCTTGATATTTTAACCGAACAAATTTTACATATTGCCATTAAATTAAAAACCTTTTGTACTTTAAAAAGTCTTTTGTAGCTTGAAACAGACACAGTCAAATGGAGGAGCGCTAATTAAACATCACTGTTTCTGTCAATGGTTTCAGCCCTTCAAAACTATTCATTTAATTCCGAAAATTCATGTTTTTGCTGTTTCGGCTGAATATTTTTTGTTGCAGAATTTTGTGCATCACTATTATTTATTTGCATTCCCTTTCATTGCATGGAAAGCATAAGCATGGGCATTTTGGCTAGTATCTCCTTTGTTTAATGGAAGAAAGAAAATAATGCAGAGAAAGAAAGAAAATTAAACAACACGAGGGTGAGTAAACAATGAAAAAAATATATATATTTTTTGAGTGAACTGTCCTTTCAACTAGTGTCTGTGAAGAAAGTCATTCTCAGAAATGTTCTTCAAAAAGTTAATTCACCTTTGATGTCCCAGGAACATTTTGGAGAGAATACCCGCTCTGTGCTTTCATTCTTGGAAGCCAAAGCTGTTTGTTTTTGGGAAAGTGATTTGCATAGTCAAGGAAAAAAATATGCCAACTCCCATGGAAAAACAACAAGGCTGATGCATCTGATATTGCGGTACATTAGAGATGTATTTGGAGGCTGAAAACGTAGAGTTAGAAAAAAAGAGCGTGTGAAAAATAAAAGATTCCATGTCTCATGTCGTATATTTGAAGTGTTATATAAATGTTACTCAGCAGGTGCAATGTTATTTTTTGGCTGGCGATCAGCTACAGTAAATGTAAAATTGTTGATTTAGGGTGTGTTCACACTTGTAATTCGGTTCGTTTGGTCCGGACCAAAAAGGAAAATTATACATTTGGTCCTGGTCCGCTTAGCATTCACACTGGCATTTTTGACAGCGAACCTAAAGACACCAAACCTAAAGGCATAGTGATACGTTCACAACCTGATTGGTTGGCTTGAATGACGTGTATATATCGTGAGTTGTGACGGAACTCGCCAAACACCCCAAACAAAAGGTGTGTTAAAGCGGCGCTGCGGGTGTACGATATCAAAGCATCCATTAACCTATCGGTCTGCTCAGTAGGCCTGTCACGATAACAACTTTTTGTTGTGCGATATATTGCACCAGAAATAATTGCG